TGGCTTCCCATGCGCATAATTACACTGCTCTCCTTGCTGTTTTATTTCATGCACCTGAACATAAACATCATTATCATCAAGTGGTTAATCTTTGATGGACTGCTTACGGCATCCTGTAGTCCTAAGTGGTCCAGTCAATGCTGTCACCTCCCATAGGTATGCTACAATCTAATCAGTAATAGGGGATCTGTGACCTGCAGAGGGTGTTGGGGGTTATCCAGGTAGTCCTTGACTTACGACCACCATTGAGCCCAAAATTTCCGCTAAGCGAGACAGTTGTTAAGTGAGCTTTGCCCCATTTTACGACCATTCTTGCTTCCATTGTTAAGTGAATCACTGCAGTTGTTAAGTCAACAGCATGGTTGTTAAGTGAATCTGGCTTCCCCATTGACCTGGTTTGTCAGAAGGTCTCAAGAGGTGATCACATGACCTTGAGACACTGCAGCTGTCATTTATACATGCCAGTTGCCAAGCGTCTGAATTTTGATCACGTGACAAGGATGCCGCAACACTTGGAAGTATGGAAAATGGTCATAAGTCTCTTTTTTTCAGTGCTGTTTCAACTTTGAACAGTCACTAAACGAATGATGGTAAGTTGAGAACTGGTTGTAGTTATCATATCTGAGGATTGATGATGGGAGCCAAGATTGTTTGGAGATAAAACTCATCAGCATAAATCTCACCCTGATCTAAACAAGCAAACGAAAGTTCCTATCCTGGGTTTGCTTTTATCTAGGGATGCCCCAAAGATGTCATGAGTAGAAATACCTAAGAGAATGTCCTCATTGTTGCCTTCCTTGAACAACCTTATTCTCAATTTACCTTTTCTATCCCACCATAGGTTTTCCTGATTTGATTCTCTCCCAGGTGAGTTAGAATGAAGGATGAGTTAGGACAGCTTCCATTCATGCCCAGGGCAGATTTGGCCACAGCTATACATGCCTTCGGACTGCAAGGCGATCAAACCAGTCAGTCCTAGAGGAGATCAACCCTGACTGCTCTTTAGAAGGCCAGATCCTGAAGTTGAAACTCAAGTACTTTGGCCACCTAATGAGAAGGAAGGACTCACTGGAGAAGAGCCTGATGCTGGGAATGATTGAGGGCAAGAAAAGAAGGGGACGACAAAGAATGAGGTGGCTGGATGGAGTCACTGAAGCAGTAGGCGTGAGCTTAAATGGACTCCAGAAGATAGTAGAGGACAGGAAGGAACGTTGTTCCATGGGGTCGCAATGGGTCGGACATGACTTCGCAACTAACAACAACAACATACATGCCTTCATTCCATCTAGATTGAATTATTGCAATGAACTCATCTTGGAGATACCTTTGAAGACTTTTTGGAAACTATCACCCATCCTGAATGCAACAGTGAGAAGGCTGGTGGACATCAGCAAATACATTACACCAGCTTTGCTAAAGGTCTAAGACCCACATCCTGGAATCCTCTTGATATTCCAAAACTTGATGGAATTTCTCTGTCTCAATAAGGGAGATGAGGGGTCCTTCGTGCTCTCTGAGCTTGGTTGTTTTCTTGCAGATGTTTCATTACACAAACTAGGTAATATCATCAGTGCTAGCACGGATCACTAGCACTGATGATGTTACCTAGTCGGGTAATGAAACATCTGCAAGGAAACAGCTCAGCTCAGAAAGCATCAAGGACCCCTCATTTCAACTCTGAGCTACAAATATTTTCCTTTATTGGCAATAATGGACCATCCCAAAACTAGGAAAGCCTTGAAAAACCAGATTTGCAGCCTCTTCAAGTAAACCTCTATTTCCCTCCCCCTACCCCCCTTGGTTCTCTACACTTTTAAAAAGACCAGGTGGTTGGTGATGGAAAGCAAAAATGCATTTAACATGTTGTGGCCTACCACCCATACATCAATCAATATTAGCTTCTCATATCCCCACACCCACCCTTAAAAACATTCCGTTCCTATTGTCAAGCATGTCACAGAAAGCCTGTTCTATGCTTCATTCAAATTTGCTTCTGCGTGATGTTGGACCCATCCGCCCTGCTTCGCAAGGGACAATTTGTGCAGATGGTCGAAACCCAGCCCACGGTGGTTGTTCCAAAACAGCATTTCAACAAACGGTGCCTTAGCCCCACGACCAACACTAACACTGAGCTGATTCATAAAGTGCTTATGTAGCTCAACTGGCACCACGGTTTAGCTGTGTGGCGACAGGAAATTTGGGGAAAGTCCCTAAAGTACAACCCAGAAAGCAGCAAGCTTGGGGGAAATTCCAAAAAGCTAAAAAAAAAAAAGATGGGGTGTGTGTGTGTTACCCCAAACCAAGAAAAATGATCCCAAATGACCCAATAATAAATAAGGATCTGCAGTCATGGAATGCTGACTGATTGAGATATTCAGAAAAATGGGAAGCATACAGAACGTGCATCTACATCAATAAATATGCAGACTTGGCTCAGCCAATTCACTTAGGACCCACAGAGGAACACACAACCCTGGNTTCTTCTTCTTCTTCTTCTCCTGGACGGATCTCTGCACGGCTGCACCGCTGCAACTGGCAGAGGCAGCCCTCCTTCTCCCCCCACCCCGTCCCTCCGCTTCCTCGGCAGCCTTGGGGACCGGAGCAACAGCGGCCGTTGATGAGACACGTTGCAGCCGCGAGTGAGGCTTCCTCGCCGCGGACAGCAGCGACCCAGCTCGGATTTATTGCATCACCGGCAGGAAACGGCACCGCCTCCGAAGCTCCGCTAGGGGGAGCAAGACGCGGGACGGGGGAAAAAAAAAAACAAAAAACAACTTTCGGACGCTCTCATTGGTCCGCTGTTGCAAAGCGAATGGAAGGAAGGAGGCACGTTGACAAGAGATTTCACGTGGCTGCCAAAAGGATCGACCGTCTCCTTCGCTGGCGAGTCGACTCCAGCTGGCGAGGAAGAATAGGCTGTAATTTAACGCGAGTCACAAACCTGGCTTTATACACACAGTCTCTCTCTCTCTCAGACACACACACAGGGATATCAAGAATAGAATAGAATAGAATAGAATAGAATAGAATAGAATAGAATAGAATAGAATAGAATAGAATAGAATAGAATAATGAAAGAATAGAATAGAATAGAATAGAATAGAATAGAATAGAATAGAATAGAATGGAATGGAATGGAATGGAATGGAATGGAATGGAATAGAATAGAATAGAATAGAATGGAATAATGAAAGAATAGAATAGAATAAGAAACGGATAGGATAGGATAGGATGGGATAAGAAACAAAGAATAGAATAGAATAGAATAGAATAGAATAGAATAGAATAGAATAGAATAGAATAGAATAAGAAATGGAGAGGAGAGGAGAGGATGGGATAAGAAACAAAGAATAGAATAGAATAGAATAGAATAGAATAGAATAGAATAGAATAGAATAGAATAGAATAGAGCTGGAAGGGACCTTGGAGGTCTTCTAGTCCAGCCCCTTGCTTAAGCAGGAGAACCTATACCATCTCTAACAAGTGACTGTCCAGTCTCTTCTTAAAAACCTCCAATGTTGGAGCATTCACAACTTCTGGAGGCAGGTTGTTCCACTGATTAATTGTTCCAGTAGAAAAGAAAGAGGTGATGGTTGATTTGATGTAGTTATTAAATCAAGGATACCATCAATCTTGTTTCCCTCTCACATTGGATGTTCAGCTGCGGTTTGCCAAGCAGACCACATTCGCTGCATTCGTGCAATTTTGTGGTGGCCATCTTGGCACTTGCCCTGGTGGACCATGCCTTGGCACTTGCCCCGGTCCCATCCCCTTCTGCCAGAGACCCTCAGATCTGTCCCACTCCTGCCCAGGCCCCCACAGGCCCCCTTGACACGAATGATGTAGAACTGGCCACACCCAACCAGTAGGCCACACCCACTCCATCCACGCCCACCCAGTAGGCTGCACCCACTCTGGCCACACCCACCCAGCCCTCCCATGGCAACCGCAATGCTGATGCGGCCCTCAGTGAAATTGAGTTTGACACCCCTGAATTAGAGGGACCATGGGTGCATCGTTGGAAGACCTGAAGGACCAGAATGGGGGTCTATCCTCCTTGGAGAAAAGCTCTCATGAAGAATGAACACTGACTTGATGATGCATAATCATTTTTTTAAAAAAAAAAATCAATTTCCTAAAACGGGGGTCTTCAAACTTGGTCCTTTTATGACTTGTGGACTTCAACTCCCAGAATTCCTGGCATGCCTGGCTGAGGAATTCTGGGAATTGAAGTCCACAAGTCACAAAAGGGCCAAGTTTGAAGACTCTCTGTCCTAAAACTAAGTTGGTGCTCCATCTTCAGGTTGCATCAGAGATGGACTTAAATTCAAGACAAATTAAGGGGTTTGCATCCTCTTAAGGATTGTAGGCTGAGAAATATATCCAAGGCTCATCCATTATGAGGAACTCTGATTTTGCTAACTATGGACTTAATTACTGCTAGCTAAGTCTTTTCAAAACTGAAACATATTTCAGACAGTTCTCTAAGCACCAAATGATCGTGTTGTTGTGGTGGTTCAGTCATTAAGTTGCGTCCGACTTTTTTCCGACCACATGGATCCTAGCACACCAGGCCTCTCTGCCCTTCACTGTCTCCCGTCTCTTTGCCTCAGCCTGCCGCACAAGTGTCTCTTCGAATTGGAGAAGGCCATGCTGCGTCTTTAGCCTCCAGGCTGAACAACCCGAGGTCAAGGATTCCCAGCTGTTAATGTCCATTCCCAAGGCCTTTAGATCCCTCTTCCAGATATCCTTATATCGCAGCTCAGGTCTCCCACTGGGGCGGTTTCCCTGCACTAGTTCTCTGTACAGGAGATCTTTCGGAATCCGACCATCAGCCATTCTCACGACATGCCCAAGCCAGCGTAGACGTTGCTGTTTCAATAGTGTATATATGCTAGAAATTCCAGCACATTCCAGGACTGTGCTATTTGGGACTTTGTCATGATGTCGCGCCCTGCGAGGCCTACTCACTCGGGTGGCAGGAGGCGTCGCCTTTTTGCCGCTCCGCCGTCCAGCGAGGGCCCCGTAGCCGTGCCGTTGCTGCTGCCGCCGCCCTGCCGCTCCACCGCCATTGCCGTTGCTGCTTGCTGCTCCGTCACTGCCGACGTCATCCTGGAGCGCCTCGCTGGGCCGACAAACGTCCAGGGGCGCTTCACTGGTCCAGCAGCAGGGGGAAGAACGTTTGCCAAACGGACTTGAGACAGCCGCCAAGTTGACTGTAAACGGAGGCTGGCCTAACGGCGACCGGGGCCGGAGTGAGGGTTTGGTGGTGGCTGGCAGGGGAGAGGCTAGGGACTGGGCGGCAGGAGAGAAAGCTGAACACCTTTCATATGCGTTGTCTCCGACGTATTCTCGGCATCACCCAGGAACTTAAGGTGGCCTAAAGAGCATTTCCCAATCGTGGTAAAGAATGGTTGGGCCAGGAGGATTTGACTGGCCCCAAATCATCAGTGGGTTTCCATGGTTGATTGTGGGCCTTCAATTTGTTCCACACCATTCTATCACACTGTATTCAGATGAACTCGACCTACGGGATAAAAACATTTGAAATGAAATCGATGGAAGCATTTGCAATTCCAGAATCTCTCTTTTTGAATTGTGAGAGGTTGCAGTATTTGAAGTGGAACAAAAATTCCATTTTAGCTAAGTCATCAAGCCAAACCCAGCTTTTCTTTCTTCTTTCTTCTTCCATCAGTTTCTTTCGATGGCCGTCCTCTGGTCTTAGCAGAGCGGAAAGGAAGATGCAAATAAGTCTTTACAAGATCAGAAGGCAGAGAGTGAAGGTTACCATGGAAATGTTCAAATAATTAGTCAGCAGTAAATGATGATGCTCGGATCTGTTTGCCAACCAGTTCTGCGGGGCTACAAAAATACCATCTAGAAACTGAACTGGCTAGACTAGTTTTGGGGTGAGCTTAGTTCATAAGATTTCTCACCACAGAGCATCATTTCAGAGGGTGGGGATAAGAATCATTGGCTAGTTCCCTTCCAACAGCACAGCAACCGAGGGTAACAAAATATAGATCCTAGAAATGAAGAAATGTCTTCATTTGTTGATGCAGGAACCAGAACCAGATGTTTTCATCATGCTTTAAGAAATTGGTCATCGTGTTAAACTATTATATGGTTTATTGTTAGGGTTAAAACACTCTGTCTCAGCTTGTTTAGTATACTCTGTTGCCGAATACTGCGCACCTGTATGGGGAAGAGGTTGCCATACCAACAAGATTGATGTTCACCTTAATGACACAATGAGAATAATATTTGGAACCCTTCAATCCATACCACTCTCACAGCTCCATGTTCTAACACTGCCCCTCCTGATCTCAGGTGACGACAGACAGTCTGAGAGTGGTCTAAGATAAACATGCCATTGAGTCCTAGAGATCTTCCAATACATAAAATATTAGACTCTCTACCTCTCACCAGGCTTAAGTCTAGGAAACCAATTTGGGATGATAATAATATACCACAGTCTTACGATCTGGATGAAAAATGGCAATTAAGATGGGTGATTTTTAATAAACACAACCAAGCAGATCCAACAAAACTACTCCAAGGGGTGCAGTTGCCCGCCAAAATATGGAGCCACCTGAAAAAAAATTCAGGACAGACCATGCCAGAACTAAGGCAAAGTTCTTTAAGTGGGGAATGGCTGAGAGCCCACAGTGTGACTGTGGTCCACCAAAAAAACAACAACGATAACACATATAGTTCAAGAATGTCTCCCAGGAAATTTCAAGGCACCTGGGATGATGTCACCGCAGCCACAGCACAAGCAGTTAGATCAGGGGTGTCAAACTCAATTTCATTGAGGGCCGCATCAGTATTGCGGTTGCCCTCGGGGGGGGCGGGGTGTGTGGCCAGGGTGGGTGCAGCCTACTGGGTGGGCGTGGATGGAGTGGGTGTGGCCTACTGGGTGGGCGTGGTTTCAGCAAGCAGCGGGGCGCTCTCCTCACAGCGCCGAGAGGTTGAGCTGGGCAGTGCGAAGCTCGCCAACTTTGCACCTTGCTGCCTGCTGAAACTGGGCAGGCAGCATTGCACTTCTCATCAGATTCGTACCACCCAGTTCAGCTCTTGGCGCTGTGAGGAGAGCGCCCCGCTGCCTGCTGAAACCGGGCAGGCTGGGAGCTGGGCAGCCTCGCATTTCTTTTTGGATTTGCACCGCCCGGCTCAGCCTCTCGGCGCTGTGAGGAGAGCACCCCAGACGGACGGCTTTGGGGAGGGGGTCTCGGGTAGTTCGGCCTATACACTTCATCCGCTTCCGATAAACGACCGGTGAAGGTCCGCTACCACGCAGAGAAGTAAGGAGTGTTTCCCACTGTGGAGGGGTCGTACGTGGGTCCCCCACCCCGGTTGCGCCGTCCCCAACCAAGGAGTGACAAAGGTCTGTCGGAACACCTCGTAAGACTGAATGCATTTCAGCATAGATGGCCACCACAAAATTGTACATTGGCTCCCGGCCGGCCTGGGCCAGGGCCAAAGCAGCGGGGGCCGTTCCCTCACTGTTTCCAGGATGGCTTCGCGGGCCACATGAAACCACTTCGTGGGCCACATCCGGCCCCCCGGGCCTTGTGTTTGACATGTCTGAGTTAGATGGTTAGATAGCAATAGCACTTAAGACTTATATACCGCTGCACAGTGCTTTACAGCCCTCTCTAAGCGGTTTACAGAGTCAGCCTATTGCCCCCAACAATCTGGGTTCTCATTTTTACCGACCTCAGAAGGATGGAAAGCTGAGTTAACCTTGAGCCGGTGAGAATTGAACTGCCGAACTGCTGGCAGCCAGCAGTCAGCATAAGTAGCCTTCAATAGCAATAGCACTTAGACTTATATACCACTTCACAGTGCTTTACTGCTCTCTCTAAGCAGTTTACAAAGTCAGGATAACTGCGCCACCAGGAAATTGGCTGGGTTTGCATATTGTACTAATTGATAATTTAATCTTAGTTTACAGTAGTGACTAAAACACTATTTCTTAGTTGACACACTGAGCTAAACCATAAATCATGGTTCATATATTAAATATGCAACAACGCTGATATAATTAAAGATACATCCAAAGGCAGAAAGTCTTGAAATGTGAAGGATTTAAGAGAAAATGTTTGATTTGTGGAACATACGGGTTTACTAGGATTGCATTAACTTGTGACTTTTCATGTATTGGTTTCCTTTAGTAAGATAATAATAAGATGCCAAACCACATTTTTACATTTTTAAATCATTTTTGTTTCTGTGTTATTGTTGTACACTGCCCAGTGTAGCCCCACGCTGATGGGCAGCAAATAAATTTAACAAATAAATATATTTTGGCATTATGGCAAACCACAGTAACGAATATTTTTCTTCTGAACTCTTCCATCTTTCAATGAAACTAGGATCTTTTTGGAGTTTGAAATTACACTTGACACTTAGCTCTTAACCGTATTTCATGCAGTAAACACTTCACTGAGCAAGCTGCATCAACTCCAAAGTGGTTTCTTGAAATCTAATCACTTCTCCAAAAGTGCTACAAAACTTGCAGCATAGATTATTACTGGAGTGGGGGTGAGGGTGGAATGTAAGGAATAAATCAACCACTGAGATTTTTAATTGGAGGGGTATTTATCGCAGATAACCACCTGCCTCCAGAAGCGGTGAATGCTCCAACACTGGAAGTTTTTAAGAAGAGATTGGACAGCCGTTTGTCTGAAATGGTATAGGGCAGTGGTGGCGAACCTATGGCACGTGTGCCCGAGGCGGCACTCAGAGCCCTCTCTGTGGGCACGCATGCCATTGCCCCAGCCCCGCCTCCCCCGTGGCCCCTCCTCACCATCAGCCCCCACAGAGAATCACCCAAGCAGCGCAGCCAAGAACATGGCAGCCAGACAGCGGGGACACTGCACTTGCGCCCTGTCGCGCAGATGATGCTGCAGGACGTGGGTGGAGGGCGTGGCTGCCATGGCGCTGCTGGGCTGTTTGGCCGATCTGTGGCGGGCCGTGAAGGCAGTGGGTAGTCCTGTGGGCGGGCGGGGTGGGGGCAGAGCGGGGACGGGCTGCGGGTAGGGGCGAAGTGGGGGTGGGCGGGGGGACCGGTTTTTGGGCACTCGATCTCTAAAAGGTTCGCCATCACTGGTATAGGGTTTCCTGCCTGAGCAGGGGGTTGGACTAGATGACCTCCAAGGTCCCTTCCAACTTTATTATTATTATAACTCTTGCAGTCATTGCTTACATCCATTGTTCTCTACTTGTCTTTTGCTGCTCCAGACGGGCAATTCAAACAATCACTTCCTTCAGTGAGAAGGAAAGCAACTCAGCCTTCCAAGAATTCCAAAATGGGTCTAAACAGACATTTAATTCTACCTATACCCTCGTCTCCGATCCTTGTATTTGCTTTGTCCACATTTTCTTTTCTTTTAAGAAAACTGATTCAAGAGTTTCGTAAAGAAATCCTCCAGGATTGACTCAGAATGACACAGTGGGTCAGATCCTGTGCTAAGAAGGTTTATAGTTTTAAGAGTAGTAAGAGTGATGTAAGCAAACACACAAATTGTTCTCTCTCTGGGTTTTCAACCCACCTCCCTCTGCACACAACTTTGCCTGTGCAACAATCAAGAGGCAAAAGGAAAGAGGAGACAATTGGGAAGAGAAATGGTTGATGGACCAGACAAGAGATGCATTATCATCCTTCTAATCCCCAGGTTTAAAACAAAGCTGCCTATCCTGGACTCCTTTGAGCTGTAAGTAGCCTCATAAAACTTTGGACTCCTTCCAAAACTGCCACATTTTTAATGGGGAAGAAGAAAATTAAGTCATAAAGCAGTGAATAGTGTAATGAATTGATTTTGGTCCTCTGTGCTCATTTGGGGGCAATTATGACAACTGGAGATCTGACATCTTTATAAAGGAAGTAGTCCCTAACAGGCATTTAAGGACTTTTGAAGGAGATATTTTATAGCTTTTCATGACTCTGCCTGGATTCAGGAGTGAAGGTTGAATTTTTGACAATGGCCTAAGCGAGGGGTTTCCAAACTCGGTAACTTTTAAGACTGGTGGACTTTAATTCCCAGAATTCCCCAGCCAGCCATGCAGA